TATCCATACAGTATCGATGCAGGCCATTTGGCCCATCAAGTCCATACCGACCCTCAGAAGAGCATCCCACCCAAACTCTCCCCCCTGTAACCCTGCATTTCACAGGGCTAATCCACTTAGCCTGCACACTATGGACACTATGGGCAATTTAGCACAGCCAATCAACCTAATCTGCACATCCTTGGACTGTGGGAGCAGCCAGAGGACACCCATGCAGACATGGGGAGAACATGCAAACTCCACAGAGACAATCACCCAAGGCTGGAATTGAACCCAGGTCCCTAGTGCTGTGAGGTAGCAGTGCTGACCACTAAGCCATCTCAATAGCAGTGAACTGCCCTCAAACACCTTGTGCTTGTGAAAAGTGATAATTAAATGCAAGTTCTTGTTTCTTTCTGGGAGGAATGTTATGCTTCCCCTGGAAATTGTAAACCTATTGATAGAGAACGTATCCCAGCCCACAGTGAAATTAACCAATATATTGTGTCTAGACCACTTACTTCAGAATCCTGAGTCCTTCAGTGAATAGGTCACACCATTCTGACAAATCAACATTAGGGCTTTACTAAAAAGTGAATCTATTGTGAGTTACAAATATATACAGAAGGTTGATAAAGCACCAGACAAACAACCAATACCATACTTAGCTTACACCAAACTTCAGTCAACCAAACTAACAAGGTATTTGAAAATTATACAAGGTCGTTCTCAGAACATGAATTTTCAGAACCTAAATCTTTGAAGAGTGTCAGGTGAACATTATGGATGTGTGATGGGCTGAGGGAAATCAGGTCTGTAGAGACTCACTCCCACTCCCTCATCATACTCAGGATAGTACTCCTCCCAGACAGGAGAGTACAAACATTCCCCATGGTATTCGTCAAACAGCTCCCCATTATGAAGTGTAGTCTGTCTATAATTCACATCCCCAACTAAAGCAGGGTCTGATTCTACCCCATAACCATTCCTGGAAGCTGGCTCACTTTACTAACACACACACATACACGCTCACATCAGAGGAAACTCTGTCAGAATACTACAGTCAGAGGTTTCTTTAAAATCCCTAAGCTTTAGTCTGGCTCCCAGTTCCAATGGTCAGACAGGACACTGAACTTTAGTGATATAGGATGGAGCTCATTTCTATCATACAAATTCACCAATGAGTCCATGGACCAATCAGTTTCCATTCCTGGAAGACCTTCCTCCCCCAGGTGAGTTGGACAGTGCTTTGTGATTTCCTACTGTCTGCTCTTTTGCCCTCAATTCCCCACAGTGCTTCTGTAGCTTTCAGTCTGGTTTAACTATTCTTTCATATCCGCCATTTGACTTTTGTTCACAAAGTTACCTTCACTCTTTTCCTTCTGGGATAATTTAATTGTTTCTCAAGCCCAAGGGTTAAGATTTGAGCCTCCCTGGAACACAAATGGTTTATTCATCCATCACTTGATCTGACTGGGTCAGATCAAGCTCCTGTGGTCCTGCTATCCTTTGTGAAAACAGGTCATCACTCCAGGAAGATCCCAAACACGAGAGATTGCATACAATTTCACCTCCTGAAAGCCAACCTCTGTCCTTGCAAAAGTTATGTTCCAGCTGTACAGAGGCACCTCCGGATGTATGGCCCCAATCCTCTAATCAGCTGTATTTGATAGAACAGCAGAAAACTACCTTAACTGGACGTAGTTGAAAAAGGCCAGACTTTGATCAACAGAATTCCCTCAGCACAGGAATCCATGTATAAAGTAACAAAGAGCATCAGCACAGGAGACAGCACTAAATAGTACTAACTGTCATGGGGTAAACTCAAATGTTCAATGTGAATGGGTCACTGTGGATGAATGAGTGAGTGAGTTGTCTTGACTTGGTGATCACAGTTACTTCACATAGGCAGTCATCAATTTGCAGATTGTTGTTTGTTCAGAACAGCAGTTTACATAGAATCCCTACAGTATGGAAACAGGCCCTTCGGCCCAACAAGTCCACACTGACCCTTGCAGCATCCCACCCAGACCCATCCCCCATAACCCACACACCCCTGAATACTACAGGCAATTTAGCATTGACAATCCACCCAGCCAGCACATCTTTGGACTGTGGGAGGAAACTGGAGCACCCGGAGGAAACACACGCAGACATGGGGAGAATGTGCAGACGCCACACAGACAGTCGCCCAAGGCTGGAATTGAACCTGGGTCCCTGGCGCTGTGAGGCTGCAGTGCTAACCACTGAGCCACCGTGCCGCCCTGTGATACATTATTTAATTAGATAAATAAAATATACAACTGGGACAACTGGGGTTGGCTCACTGACACCAAAGGACAAACAAAGCTGTATGTGTGGAATGTACCAGTCCTGTTAAAGTTGTAAATGTAGTATCCTGCTCTCTACCTGAAATGTTCAGGAACTGTTTCCTGGGTCTTCCTCCTCTTGGTCCATTTCAGGAAAGAGCTCTCTGAGGACTGCCTGATGAGAACCACTGATGAGCACACCCAATTAGAAATGCAGTCTACAAGATCTGCCTGATGAATACCACCCAATGAGGACCACACAATTAGGACTGCCGTCTACAAAAGTCTGACTGATGAGGACTGCCTGATGAGGAACCCCTGTGCCCCTGAGTACTTGTCAATACACTCTATTTCCAGGGGCAGATAACTTACGCCTTGTCAATCAATTGTCTGAATTCTTTTGACTAATGACCAAGGGACAGCTCCTCATGATGTCAGAAGACCATTGTTTCCTTGCCACCTCCATTTGAAAAATTTCATTCCTTCTAAGGACAAATTCTTCTTATGTTTTTAACACATTATACTCATAATAGAGTGCTATGGTGCCCAGTACATTTTTTTGTTAATGCTAGTAGGCTCGTTCTTACTGTAATACATTTAAATGAGCTAGACAGGAAATACTAAATTTGGAGTACAAAAAACATAGAGTTTTAAAGGCGAACCCAATTTCCAACAGTTGTGGTTGGTTAAGTGAGTGATGTATGGTGCTAGAGTGGTGGGTGAACACTGTGACAGGTGAGAAGAGTGGACAGATGGCTGGAGCTGTTAGGTGCAGGTTGGGACATATGTCTTGTCAGGTTAGAGGGTAGCCAAATGATGGGACAAATCAGGTCTGGTTGTGGAAGTCATTGTGAGGGTATTGGATTTAGTTAACGTTTCGGGTCCGGTGACCCTTCCTCAGAACAGTTCTGTTTTCTCCTCCACAGATGCTGCCAGACCTGCTGAGCTTTTCCAGCAACTTTGTTTTTGTTCTTGATTTACAGCATCCGCAGTTCTTTTGGTTTTTATTGGATTTAGTTGGTAGGAGTGATCACATGGGTTCATAGATCAATCAGTTCCCATTCTTGGTGATCCTTACTTTCTAATTCCCCAAATGGTTTAAGCACTTATCCACCTCTGCACCCTCACTCCCATCATAACCCTCGTTTCCATCCTGATCAAAGACAGCATTTGATGTTGAACCATAATCTTGATCTGCTATAGTCCAAGCTGTTGCAGAAAACCCTCGCCGCTGTAGTTTGTAAAAGGTTGAACTGTCACAGGTGATCTGGTGTTGAATCTTCTCGTCAATGGTGATCTTTTGAGAAAAGAGGCTATCAAAGTCTGAGTCTCTATTTCCACACAATGGCAAGTGGAATATTTGGCTGACCAGGTATGTGTTGACATGAATTTTGTTTTGACAATATTTGAGGACAGGGTGAGTTTCTTGTATGGAGAACTGAAGAGATTGATAGTGGTTTTAAAATCTATTGCAGAGTGGATGATGACATTGCAGTCATTTACAAACTATATATAACATCTATGGGTTAGTTTTGTCAGGGAGGTAACTGAGGTAAATGAGTTTCCCATTGAGATAGTGTTTAATACTTACCATTGGAAGGCATCCACAGCAGACACCATCTCCCTGGCCCTACACCCATCCCTAGAACATCTGGATAACAAGGACACCTACATCAAACTCCTATTTATTGAAGCTAGCTCCGCCTTCAACACCATAATTCCAACAAAACCCATCTCCAAATTCCAAGATCTAGGACCCTGCTCCCTCCTCCGCAACTGAATCCTCGATTTTCTTACTTGCAGACTGTAATCAGTAAGGATAGGCAACAAAACCTCCTCCACAATAATCCTCAGTACTGGTGCCCTGCAAGGCTGCGTACTCAACCCCTTTCTATACTCTTTGTATACCTCATGACTGTGTGGCCAAATTCAGCTCTAAGTCCATTTACAAATTTGCTGATGACACCACCATAGGTTGGATCTCAAACAACGATGACAGAGTACAGGAAGGAGATAGACAGCTTAATAGGATGGTGTAAAGACAGCAATATGTTCCTCAATGTTAGCAAAACAAAGGAGCTGACTTCAGGAGGCAGAGTGGAGGACACTCACCGATCTGTATCAATGGTGCAATGGAAGTGGCTGAGAGCTTTGAATTCCTCGGAGTAGATATCAGTATCAATCTATCCTGGTCTATTCATATTGACATCACAGTCAAAAAACACAGTAATGCCTCTACTTCCTCAGAAGGCTAAGGAAATTAAGCATGTCCACAATGACTCTTACCATTTTTTATAAATGCACCATTGAAAACGTCCTATCCAGATGCATCACAGCTTGGTATGCTCTGTCCTGCTGAAGACCGCAAGAAGTTACAGAGCATTGTGAACACAGCCCAGTCCATCATGCAAACCAGCCTTCCTTCCATTGACTCTGTCTACATTTCCTGCTGCCTTGGAAAAGCAGTCAACAAATCAAAGACCCCTCCCACCCGTTATACTCTCTTCCACCCTCTACCAGGCAGAAGATACAAAAGTTTGAAAACACATACCAACAGATTTAAGAACAGCTTCGTTCCTACTGTTAACAGACTTATGAATGGACCTCCCATATATAAGAGTTGGTATTTCTCTTGATCTTCTCTAGCTGTAACACCATATTCTGCATACTGTTCTATTACCCAGATGTACTTATGTAAGGTATGATTTATCTGGTTAGCACACAAAACAATACTTTATCACTGTATTTCAGTACATGTGACAATAATAAATCAATTCAAATCAAATCAGTTGATTTTTAATGAGGTGAATGGTCACTGTCCAGTAGATTGTAAATAGAATGGGGACTATCACACAGCCTTGCTTGACACCAATGTGGATTTTGAAGGTGAGAAACGCCTCTCTGCTCCTATGATGCTGCTTGGCCTGCTGTGTTCATCCAGCCCTGCACCTTGTTGTCTTGGATTTTGAAGGTTTCTGAATCAGTTGCAGGACTGTGATGGTGTTTCTGGGACATTCAAATTATTGGAACACAGGCCCTTGTAATTTACATGAGTCAAATACTTTATCATGTCAATGAATGTAATGAAGAATTTCTGGTGTTGCTCTCAACATTTTTCTTGGATTTGTCTAACTTCAAATAAAAAGTTGGGGGTTCATCTGGAAGGTCAAAGTCCATGTCTACATCACTCAGGACAATTGGGGATAGTTAAAGGCTGATGCCCAAAGACAAATTCAGAAGATGCTGGGAAGAGAAGGTCCAAGAGATCCAACAATATCCATTTAACCCTGGAAAAATCATTTCAAACAACTCCTCAACCATGAATCCACAGGGTGGCTGATAACCTGTAGTCTATCCTCCACCGCTTGTGGTAGAATCCAGGAGTGAGTCACCATCAATGGGACAGCTGCAACAAGCGATCAAATAGAAGAGAAACAACAAAGCCTGCAACTCTGACGGTATTCCAACCAAAAGCTTTGAAGCTGGTAAACATTAGCACAGATCAAGGAATCATGAACTCATCCGATGGATTTAGAGGAAAAGGATCTTCCCTAACTTTACGAATGTGAGAATTGTAACCATCTTCATAAAGAGAGATAAAATCACACTTCAGAGCCTGTTGATGTATCTCCCGATTCCCCATAGTGAGAAAAAGCATGATATACATTCTCCTAAATTGCCTACCTTCTATAGCTTAAAAATTGTACCAGAAAAACAGTGGCATCTGTGCATAAACAGGAGCTTCTATATATACTAATGTCTTCAATTGTTATGTTTGATGATCTGGTCAAAATATAATTGGCCCCTTAAAAATAACTGGATTGTTGATGGGAGAGGTTTGAGACAGACAGTGCTTTGGAATGACAACTCCCCTGTGTGAGCACTGGAGGATCAAAAGAAGCAGGTGACCTGGTTTCAAGTCCATATGAAGATGTCTGGTGAAAGAGAATTAGGTGAAATAATCCTGGCACATGTCATACTGGAAGGGCCTGTCTCCCATGTGGGTTCACTGATGTCCAAGAAGGTCAGACAACTTTTGAAATTTTTATTATATACCTCACACTGACAGAGTTTTATCCCTGTGTGAATACATTTATGAATCAGAAGATATGTTGACACATCCCTCACCAGTTAAGTTCTGCTCCTGTTTTAGGGAATCGGGGAAGTAGATTACAAGCAATGCAGCTCAACAGTTTCTCCCATGTTTATCCTGTGGTGTCACTACATGGTCGAAAGCATGACTGAAGCATTATTGCAAACCACACACTTCAAGGGTTACTCCTTTGTGTGGATCCTTTGATGAAGCAGGAGTTTCGATGAATGTGAGAATGACTTGTCACATAGTTCACATTTGAATGGCTTCTCCCCTGTGTGAATGCGTTGGTGTTGCCAGCGGTCTGATGACCGTCTAAAAGATTTGTCACACACCTTGCATCTGAATGGTTTCTCGCCAGTGTGAATGCGATGGTGTTTCAAAAGGTCTGATGATCGTGCAAAGCCCTTGTTGCACACCTCACATTCAAATGGTTTCTCCCCAGTGTGAATGCGCCGATGTTCCACAAGTGTTGATGACCGTGTGAAATTTTGATCACACACCTCACACTTGAATGGTTTCTGTCCAGTGTGGATACGTTGGTGCCTCAGGAGATCTGAGGACCGGGTGAAAGCCATCTCACAAACTTCACACCTGAAGGGATACTCACCTTTATGAATACGTTTGTGTGCACTAAGGGATGATGAGTCGGAGAATGACTTGTTGCACACTTCACACCTGACTGGTTTATCCCCTGTGTGAATGTGTTTGTGTCTGCGAAAGGCCGATGAATCCGAGAATGATTTATCACACACTTCACAAGTGAATGGTTTCTCCCCTGTGTGAATGCGTCGGTGTGTTTGGAGGTTTGCAGACTTCATGAATGATTTGTTGCACACCTCACACGTGAATGGTTTCTCCCCTGTGTGAATGCACCAGTGTGTCACCAGGCCTGATGATTCTGCAAAGTAGTTGTTACACATCTCACACTTGAATGGCATCTCACCAATGTAAAGGTGTCAATGTTTCATGACAGATGAGAAGTGTGTGAAGGTTCAGTTGCACAACTCATAACTGAATTGTTTCTCTCCCACGCAGTTGCCCAATGTTACAAGTTCTACAAGACACGTATATTTTGTGTTAAGGGATTCTAAGAGCCTGTGGAGCAGCCCCTCACACAGCCTCTCACCTGCAGGAGTGAGTCAGTGGTTCATGAGACTTAGTGAATGAGTGAAAATCTCACCACACTTGGAACCCACTCATACTTCTTCCCAATTTACTCTGACTGATCACCCACAGCCAGATATTCGGAAGGTTTGGTTCTGATGGAAGGCTCCACACCACTGACCAGTTTCAGACTTGATGATATGTCAAAACACCTCTGACCCGACCGATTTCCAGATGATGGTTTCACTGCTGAACCTTCTCTGTACTGAGCATTGCTGTGAAGGGACTGGATGGTTTCCCACAGTTGTGCAGTTGCTCCTTGGGTGACGGTCAGGATCAGTCCGCAGTGTCTATCCTCACTGTATTCTCTGATGTAGTACAGTGCAATCCTTCTGTAAAACAGGAAAAGGAAACATGATTTCCTCCAACACCTTCTTCTTTGCTGAAGGGGCTGACGCCTCAGTTAGAGACTGTTACACAGTGAGTGCCAGTCTGCTATTCCCCTGTGTGGGGGGATCAGATGCAAATCTATTATTTTTCCTCACTTGACTGTCACACACCTGCTGTTTCCAACACAGACACTGTGAATAGCGACCATGAGCAGACAACTGGGCTATCTGTTTTCAATGCCCTGCTCCCTCCCCGACTTCCCAGGCACCATGATGGCAATGGAAAAAAAATCAGAGTGTAAAGCGGGCTGTTAATTCACTATAAATTTGAGTCACTGAGCCAAAGACCAGTTTACCTTGGAGTGTGTGTTTAATATTGTTAAAAATTCAGCAGAGATTGGCTTTCTCTTCATTTCCAAAATTATTTGAGGAAAGCCCAATGGACAGGAAGTGCTAGAAACTGAAGAAAATATTGCTTCAGTGTAGCTGAATAAAGGATTTTGGTTTATGCTGGGAAATTAGATACACTGCACTCATCCAGGCAGCGCACCCAAATTCTGCTATCAGCCATAGCACTGGGCAAAACGATCAATCCAAACCCAGACTTTTGGGAAAGGTTGAAGGTTTCAGGCAAAATTTTAAAAGAAGACATTAAAAGCATTAAAAGACATTCTTATAGATGCGTCTTTAGGTATTGCAGCAGAATTACTGTGATGCTGGATTAACATACCAGCGACTGAGAGTTCAAATTGAACTGTGGATGGTTGCATACTTCGAACTACAGTGAAAAACAAACCCTTTGGTCTATACCGGTATTTATACAAGGCACCGCTCACTCATGTTTTGTCACGTGTTTATCTGCTTTCTACTGAGACGTCAACAAAGAGAACTGGTGAGTGAGCAACTCCATTATCAGAGTCACTCTCAGAACAAACTCACTCCCTGTGTCACATGATACTCTCCTTGCTCTCTCTCTTATGCTCCTTTCCTTCTCCCAGCGTTTCGTGCCTCTCTCTGTCGTTCCTTTCACTTGTGCCCCTTCCGTCCTGAGCACATGCTGATCCCACCATTGTACATCTTCGCTACCTGTGTGTCTTCCTCTTCTGATCTGCTGTCAAACACATCCGAGGATACACATCCCACACTGATGTTGTCAGTTTGAAAGCCTCCGAGGATGAAAAATACAATTCCCCCACACTAGAAATCTCTGTCAAATATTTACCAGGGGAACTGAGACAGCAGCTGCAATAAGTGAGGTTTTATTCAGATGGGGCAATGACATGTTTAAATCCCCACCTAATCTGCTGCTCAAAGTCACCTGCTTTTCACTGGTCAGTTTCCCAAGCTTCAGGAAACTCATGTTGCTCCAGAAATATTTGGATTGACTGTGAGAGACGTCAATCAAATAGTCCACCCACTCTGCCCATTCCCTCCTCTTCCTCTTACCGAGCCGGTTCACTTCCTATAGGGACTGAAAACCAAGTGAGGAGATGGTGAGTGAAGGAGCAGCTCTTATACAAATTGTATCCCATAATAGCCACACCAATCTTCAGGCAGTCTGACTATCCTGTGGGCAATCAGGGATGGAAGTATCCCTTATGCTGTGTGAGAAGATCCAGCTGAGAGAGCTGTTTACTGGGTGCTTTGTGCTGAACTGTTTGACTGGAGCCGTGTGTTGGATATTGAGTGTGCTTATAGGAAGCATTTCCCATCTGATTTCCAGGCTGAGTTTTGTTGATGGCTCATTCCTCAACATGAGAAGGTGAGCTGTAATTATCTTGGCGGAATAGATTGAGGATTCTTTTATTCGATCACATCTTATATACATACGTCTCTGTTTAGACCAGCATTTACTGCTTATCGCAATGTGAAAGTGAGCTGCCTTTTGAACTGCTGCAGTTTATGCGGTCTCGGCACACACACATATGCATTGATTTTTGGGATGGAGAGCCAGGATTTTGACCCAGCAACTCTGAGGGAAAGGATTTCCAAGTCAGTATGATTTGTGGTTTGGAGGGAAACTTGCAACTGTTGATGTTCCTATGTATCAGCTTCCCATGTCCGTCCAGGTAGTAGATATTGTAGGTTGAGAAATTGCTGCTGAAGGAGCCTTGGTGAAATATGCAGTCTGGACAGTGCTGCTACCTGCATTGGTTGTGGAAGGAGTGAATGTTGTTAGTGTTAGATGGGCTGCCAAGGAAGCGGTCTGCTTTGTCCTGCATGGTGTTGAGTTTCTTGGAGCGGTACTCATTTAAGCAAGTATTCCGTCAAATTCTTTACTTATGTTTTGCAGATAGTGGAGTCAGGTAATTTACTCTCCACAGAATTTACAGCCTATGACCTGCCCTTATAGCCACGTATTTTAGAGGCTGATCATTTCAGTTTTTGGTTAGTAGTAACCCCTAGGATGTTGATCATGATGGAATCAAGAATGGTAATACAATTGAGTATCTGGGGGCAGTGGCTGGATTCTCTATTGTTGAAGATGGTCATTGTCTGGTACTTATATGGTGCATATGTTAGTGGCCACTTCTCAGTTTGTCTAGATCTTGCTACAAAAGACATGGACTGCTTCAGTGTCTGAGGAGTCACAAATGGTGTTGTAATCACCCCATCCCAACTTCTAACCTTATAATGGAGCAAAAGTCTTTAATGAAACAGCTGAAGATGGTTGAGCCTTTGGCACTACCTTGAGGAACTAAGGGTTCTTGTGGCACAACGGTAGTGTCCCATTCGGAGCCAGGAGGTCTGATTTAAATCCTACTTGCTCCAGTTGTAAGACATTTCTGAAATAGCTACACGGAATAACTCTTTGAACAGGTTTATTTGAAAATATCTATCTGAAGAAATTCTTGCAAAATGTCCTGGAGCTGAGATGACTGACCTTAGTAACCACAACCATCTTCATTTGTGTCAGATTTGACTCCACCTGCTGGAGAGTTTTCCCTCATTCCATTGACCCCAAAATAAAAATAAAGTTCTAGAGAAAATCATGAATTCTGGCAGAATATGTGTATGGAAGATAATAGATGCTGCCAGACTTACAGAGCTTCTGTAGCACTTTCTATTTTTGTTTCAGATCTCCAACATTTTGTAATAATTTGCTTTTATCCCACTTTTGCCAGAGCTCCTTGAGCAAGGGTCACCGGACACGAAATGTTTAACTCTGATTTCTTTTTCACAGATGCTGCCAGACTGCTGAGCTTCCAGCAACCTCTGTTTTTGTTCCTGATTTAAGCATTTGCAGTTCTTTCAGTTTTTAGCTTGTACTTATAGAGACATTCACAACCAAAAAATGTTCTAAAGCTCTCTACATGCAATTACTTTTTAAATGTGATCACTGGTTTCTTACAGTAAATGTGAGCACAGAAAGCCTTCACAAATAACAATGTTTAATCATTTTTTTTTACATAACTTAAATACTGAAGATGCTGACAATCTGAAATAATAATAGAAAGTACTGGAGAAGCTCAGCAAGTCTGGCAGCATCTGTAGAGAGAGGAACAACTGGTGGCACAAATCAAATATAACTTCTTTAGAATTGTAGTTTTTTAAAAATTCATTTGTGGGATGTGGGTGTCGCTGGCTAGCCAGCATTTATTGCCCTTCCCTAGTTGCCTTTGAGAAGGTAATGGTGAGCTGCATTTTTGAACCACTGCAGTCCACGTCCTGTGGGTTGAATCACAATGATGTTAGGGAATTTCAAGATTTTGTCCCAGCGACGGTGAAGGAACCGAGATAAATTTCAAAGTCTGGATGGTGAGTGGCTTGGAGGTGAACTTGCAGGTGGTGGTGTTCCTATATATTTGCTACCCTTGTTCTTCTCAATGGAAATAGTTGCGGGTTTGGAAGGTGCTATGTAAGGATCATTGGTGAATTTCAGCCAGTGTCTTGTAGGTAGTACACACTGTTGCTACTGAGCATCGGTGTTCGTGAATGTGGTGCTAATCAAGTGGGCTGCTTTATCCTGAATGGTATCAAGCCTCAGGTGGCATTAGGGCTGCACCCATCCAGGCGAGTGGGGAGTATTCCATCATTCTCCTGTGATGTGTTGTAATTCATGTTTATTAATAATTATCCATAATTGTATGTATCACAATTCATGATTGCATGTAATGTTAACTACAGACTTATGTGTACTAGTCACTCCATTCAGACTAACTCAAAAGTGCATTACCATATCAGATTACATTACATTCAAAAGGTGCAATCATGCATAACCCGCTGTGTACACAGTTTCATTTAACATCTCTTTCACTTGAATGAAATATCACTGAATAAAACATTTTTACATCTCCATACCAAAACTTAGCCTTGAATAGGTGCGATCTCTAAACCACTTACCCTAAACCCCTTTCCAGCCAGTGTGGCTCCAAGACTCATTTAAAGATAACAATTGGATTCGCTCCTTTCTTTAAAAACAAAATGCTGTTTTTTTACAGACTTTATTGTATTGTGACTGGTATTCGTTTAAGCATATTATAACTTGTATGTGATAGTAGGAATTGCAGATGCTGGAGAATCTGAGATAACAAGGTGTAGAGCTGGAGAATTCTTCAGAATTTCTGAAGAAGGGTCTAGGCCCGAAACATCAGCCTTCCTGCTCCCCTGATGCTGCTTGGGCTGCTGTGTTCATCCAGCTCTACACCTTATTATCTCTATAACTTGTAGGTGACAGGATTTATTTTGTCTTAAGTTTTTATTCAATGTCATATATGTAAGCAAACTTTAACCTACTAATAAAGCTAACAGCACTCTGATCAGAACCATGTGACTTTGAATGAATGAATGTATGAATGAAACTGACAGTGCTACTATAACAGACGCTACTGTGAAATTGAATGAATGAATGGGCAATAGGAAACAAAACTCAGACAGCCGCAACTGATAGAAATCCTAGTGTTTATTTAACACACAGATAAGTTTCCACTTATTTAAGACTATATAGACTTGACATTTTTACTAACATTTTAACTTTAGAGATAACAGGACTCTTTTTGAATTATGCTAGGCCAAACCACTAACCACTAACACTTAGCGAGTGTTTAACCCATCTCAGAATTCCTGCAAGACAGATTTCTGTACTATAGTCACTAACTTGGCACTCAAGTGTGAGAATATTGATGTGTGCACAGACTATGTATAAAAGAGATAGTAAGAACTGCCGATGCTGGAGTCTGAGATAACAGTGTGGAGCTGGAGGAACACAGCAGGCCAGGCAGCATTAGAGGAGCAGGAAAGCTGACGTTTTGGGTTGGGACCCTTCTTCAGAAATGGGGAGGGGAAGGGGGCTCTGAAATAGAGAGAGGGGGGGTCGGGCTGTGGAAGGCAGGTGGGATGGTGATAGGTGAGTACAGGTAGGTAGTGGTGGGGATTGGTCAGTGAGGTGGGAGCAGCAGATAGGTGGGAACGATGGACAGGTCAAGGAGGCAGGGATGAGAGGGAGGGTTGGTCATGGGATGAGGCTGGGGGGGTGGGGAAATTTTAAAGCCAGTAAAGTCCACATTGAGACCATTGGGTTGTAGGCTCCCAAGGTGGAATATGAGGTGTTGCTCCTCCAGTTTCCGGGTGGCATGTTGTGACATTGGAGGAGGCCCAGGATGGATATGTTGTCCAGAGAGTGGGAGGGTGAGTTGAAGTAGTTCGCGACTGGCAGGTGTTGTCGTTTGTTGCGAACTGAGCGTAGGTGCTCTACAAAGTGGTCTCCGAGCCTCCATTTGGTCTCACCAATGTAGAGGAGGCCACATTGGGAATAGCGGATACAATAGACCACATTAGTGGATGTGCAGGTGAACATTTGTCTGATGTGGAAGGTTTTTTTGAGGCCCGGGAAGGAGGTGAGGGAGGTTGTGTAGGGGCAGGTTTAGCACCTCCTGCGGTTGCAGGGAAAGGTGCTGGGGGTGGTGGGGCTATTGGGGAGTGTGGAGCGAATGAGGGAGTTGCGAAGAGAGTGGTCCCTCCAGAAGGCGGATGAGGGTGGGGAGGGAAATATATCCTTTGGAGTGGGGTCAGATTGCAGATGGCGGAAGTGGCGGAGAATGATGCGTGGAATTCGGAAGTTAATGGGGTGATACGTGAGGATAAGAGGGATTCTGTCTTTGTTTTTATTTTGTTTTCAGGATTATATTGAGCTTTGTATGTTTAACACAACTGCCCTCACTTCAGTGTGGAGCACAGCAGGCCAGGCAGCATCAGAGGAGCAGGAAAATTGACATTTCGGATCGGGACCCTTCTTCAGAAATGCGAGAGGGGGAAGGGAGCTCAGAAATAAATGGGGTAAGGTTGGGGGTGGGGAGATTTTGAAACTGATGAAGTCCACATTGAGACCATTGG